CTTTGCTCTGGGGCACGGACAACCCGAGAAACTCCCGGCCGAAGCCAGGACGCCCTTCGTCCCTCCCTCCTTCCCCTCCCCCCGTCCCGTGAGCCCAGTCCCCTCTAAAGCAGTTTATTCGGATACTAATTCGGCGCGTTCTGCTTGGCCCCTGAGGGCCGAGCCCTGCACCTTTCTGGGTGAAAAGGCTGGCTCCTGGTTAGAGGAGTCCCCCAATGTAGGACACTCCCCAATACTAGAGGAAGTCTTCGAGCAGAGGCGACATGGGGCCACTTTTCGGGGACTCTCATAGAGGGGTTTCTTGTTCCGGGAGGGATCAGACTAGAGGCAGTCTGAGTAAGTATTTATTAAGCGCTTATGAGGAAGGAAGGAAAGGAGCATTTATTAAACAACTACTGTGTGCCATAGTACTAAGCGCTTTATAATCCATGCAACAACCACACCCATTTTACAGTTGAGGAAACTGAGGCAGACAGAGCTTAAGCGACTTGCCCAGGTTACGACAAGTGTCCAGGCAAGATTTGACCCTTCTAGACACCTGGCAGGATACAAAAAAAAGGGAAAACCCTGTCCCTGCCCTCAAGGAGATTATCTTCTGTTGAGAGAGACAATGGCCAGCACTTAACATTGATTTAGATATTGTGGCACAATGTTTAGAGAGCTGGGCCTGGAGTCAGGAAGACTCATCTTCCTAGGTTCGAATCCAGTCTCAGACACTAGCTGTGTGACCCTGGGCAAGTCACTTCATCCTGTTGGCCTCAGTTTCCTCACCTGTCAAATGAATTGGAGAAGGAAATGGCAAACCACCCCAGTGTCTTTGCTAAGAAAACCCCAAAATGGTGTCAGGAAGAGTTGTAGATGACTGAGAGCAATAATCTGAAAAAGGAGACACTAGCAGCCGGGATAGGCCAGGAAAGATTTTCTGCAGAAGGTGGGATTTGAGCCTTCTCAAAGGAGGTGAAGATGAAGAGGGAGGGCATTCCAAGGAGAGGGGACAACCTGTGCAAAGGCTTGGAGGTGGGAGAGTGTCTCGTTCAGAGAATTGCAAGGAGGCTGTGACACTAGATAGTGGAGTACATGAAGGAGGGTGGGGTCTAGTGACTGGGAAGATTGGAAGAGCTTTGACAGACAAACAGGATTTTATAACTGATTCTGGAAGGAAAAGGAGTCACTGGAATTGAGTTGGGAGAGAGAATGAGGGACTGGGTAATGGGATCAGATCTTGCAAAGTACAGTGGATTCGAAGTCATCTGAGTGCTGATTCTGCTACTTTGTACCTTGGGAGAGGGGATCCCTGATGGGAGAAGGAGGCTGGACCCTACAGCCCCCCAAGCCTAAGCTTCTGGGATAGTTTGCATGGCCGTGTGGTTCTTAGATCCAGCCCGGGGTTTCAGTAAAGCAGCACCTAGAAATTTCAGTATAGGCAGGTGGTGGGTGGGAAGGCTGTATTTCCTGCCTAGGGCTCCCTTAGTGTGACTCCACCCTGGAGCTCAGGCACATCTCTAAGCCACAGTGATTATATGTATAAAATGGGCTGGAGGCTCAGGATGCTTCTCCCTTCCTCTCCCCTTCATTGTTTGCACCCTGAGATGCGTTTTTGGAACCTTTGGGGTTTCAATCTTCTCCCCTGCAATAACTTTCCTAGCCAGAGAAGAGTACTTCTAGTGAAAATATCCCTTGCTCTGATTTCCTCACTGTCAGCTGAAAGATCATAGATTGACAACTGGAAAAAACTTTAGGGCTCATGTATTAGCCCCTCCTTTTAGAAATGAGGAAATTGAGGCCCAGGGATTAAGTGATTTGACCAAGGTCACACAGCTAGTAAGTGGCTGAGTGAGGATTTGAAGGCCGATCTGTTGGTCCCAGATTCATCATTCTTTCTACCTTCGAGGTGAACACAGAAGCAGTTTATCCTCTGGCACAGAAGCAGTTTATCCTCCATTTTCTTCACTGCCTATCAGGCAGAAATCAGAATTTGACCCAGGATGGACTTACCTTCCTACTTGTCCCACCTCGTTGTTGAAAAGAGAAATGTTGAGTGTGATTTGCAGCTTAAAGAATAGGGAGCATTCCTCTTGGAGAAGAGAGCTTGGAGAGCTGAAAAGGCTTGCCTATGGTCACAAAGCTAGTAATCGTCAGCTGTGAGATTTGGACCTGAATTGTGAGAATCGGAATCTTAACATTCTTTCCACTGTGCACTACCACTGTGATACAAGCAGTAGGACTTGGGCTTTGACTTCACAGAGTTTACATCTTCATTAGGAAATGAAAACACAAGGGGCACTCTCATTTACAGGCCCAAAGAAAAGGCATGGTCGTTTTGGGAAGACTGACGTGGTTAAAAGAGGCCCCAGACCCCAGGGTTCTGGACAACCCACAGGACTAGTATAGCTCAGACATCAGGAGGGCCAGGACTCTGGGGGCTTGGTAAGAGTAAGTAGAGAATGGGGTAAGGGAGCTAGATTGGTAAGCACCGAGGAGTCACTGCAGAGGCCAGATTCATGAATGTTTCTGGCTGCTGACTCAGATAACAACTTCCTGACTTCCCTTTCCTTCTCTCACAGCAACCAGAATGTTCCAGAAGTCACCTCCTCTTCTCCTCTTTCAGTCCTGCTGTCAGACTTGGGGGCATGAAAAGAGGTGAGCATGAGAGATCATGAATGCCACACTGGAACCTGGGAGACCTGAGCAGGCTAGCCAGGTGTCTGCCAATGTTTGACCTTGGCTAAATTACTAGAATCTTGGTTACTATATAAAGAATTTTGCAAACCTTTAAGTTCTATATGTGGCCACCATTGTCACAGAGGACCCTACTAGTTTTGACATTTTTCTTAAAATTTTTTTTAAATAAAAATTTGCTTTTTTATATAACCTGTATTTCTACCTATATGCCTCCCCATCACTTCAAATAGCCATCTCCTACTTTTGATTTTTTTTATTTTGTTAATCTATCTTGCCCAATACCCCTGCACCACCGAGTAAATTTTTAAACAACAAAAAAAAAATGAGCCTTCAATATATTATAGACCCATAGTATGGTAAAACAAATTCCCACATAGGCCTTGTCCCTAACTCTATGACATCCCCTGTTCTGAGGCCCCTCCCAGCTCTGACATTCCCTGTTCCAAACTCTCTCCCAGCCTTGACATTCCATGTTCTAAGTCCCCTCCCAGCTCTGGCATTCCTCGTTTAAAATCCTTTCTAGCTCTGCCATCCCCTGTTCTAAGAGCTCTCCTATCTCTGATTTTCTATGATGCTCAGCTATTGTCCTCAAGGTGTGATTGTAACACCACCAAGCTTTGAATTCTCCCGTGTCATACTCTACCTTCCCTCAAAAAACCTTGCTCTAATTCTGCCAGATATCCTATCATTAGAGATACATTTTTTAAAAATTAAGTATTATTCTCGAATTCTCTTTTAAAATGCAAATAGCCTTGGGAGCTGGGCACAATAAGTTAGCCCAGCTATTTTGATTTAAATGAGCAGATGCTATCAGATGTGCCCAGAATAGCAGAGGGACAGTGGGCTGGAATAAAGAAGAGAGGCAGAGAAAAGGCACCAGGTCCCTTCCAGCTCTAGATATCGCTGATTTTATGACCCTACCTGGGTTATCTTAGATAGATCTCTTCAGCGCTCTAGGCCTCAGTTTACTGTTCTGTAAAAGGAGGGGGTTGGGCTAGAAGACCTCTGAGGTCCCTTCCAACACTAGATCTAGACTCCTACTACGCAGACAGGACAGGAGGAGGCCAAACGTGTTCAACAGCGTAAATAATAAAAACCCTTAATAAGTAAGAATGTCAGTTAAAGACAGAAGAGAAAAAGCCCATTGGAGAGGTTTCACTTCTCTCGACAGCTGCTAACTTTGGCCTTTGCCACCCAGAAAGCTCAGCTGGGAAAGGAAACCATTACTCAGCAAAAACATCTCTTCCTTTTTGGGTTTTTTTTCCTCTTCCCTCCCACCCCCTGGGGCAGCCAGGCCGCCTGAACCATGACTAAGCAGAACTGAGATGCCTGGAAAAGAAGAAAGAGTGACTCAGCAATAGTCTGGGCTGGCCCGGGGCCAGAGGAAACAGCGCCTCAACCTCACGGCAGAGGCTTGTGGGATTGCTGAAAGCTCCCCGGCCGAATGAAGCAGGGAGGGTAAGCGGGGAGAAGCCTTCCGATGTCTGGGGATGTGTGGGCTGTGGGCCCCATCCCAGCCCTCCTGTCTCTGAGGAGACCAGGCTATCTGGAGGGCAGGGTGACCTGCTTGGTGACAGGGACAAGGTCAGCAAACCCGGAGCCTCCTAATAAGGGAGCAAGTGACCTTAACCTGACCACAGGCTTGAGGGTCCCCAGGGCTCCAGTATGTCTTTAGAATGGGGGGGGGGACCAGCTCCCTCCCCTGCCCCTGAATGGAGCACAAATGGACTGAGCACTGGTCTGGGGATCCAGCAGTTTGGAGTTTGAATCCCAGCTCTGACACAAGTCATATCACCTCTCTGTGCCTCAGTTTCCTCTTGTGTAAAATTGACTAGAGAGCCACTAGTATCCCTTTCAGCTCCACAGCTCTGAGTCTAGGTCACTTTACCTTTCTGTGCCTCAATTTCCTCATCTGTAAAAAATATATATATACCTACCATTTATTTATAAAACACTTTTAAGATTTGCAAAGCACTACGCATAGATTATCTCATTTGACCCTTACAACAAGGCTTATTATCCCCATTTTACAGATGGAGAAACAGACTTATGATTTGCCCAGAGTCACATCATTAGAGAAGTCCACAGGCAGGATTTGAACCAAGTTCTTCCTGACTTCCGATCTGGCACTCTATCCACTGTACCCCCTTTCTGCCCTTGTGGCTTGCAGTACCTGTCTTCTCAAGTCCCTGTGATCCCATGATGCCTCTGTCTCCAGAAGGGACCTTCCCCACCCACAAGACTTTTTGTCCAATGAGCTAAGATCTGAACCTACAACGTAGTTACAGTGGAAATAGAAACTGGCACATTGTGGGAGCCCTGGCCAAGGTGAATAATGGTAAAGAAGATAGAGACAGGACCTGCGACTTCATCAGCAAGAGGAGATCCCAGATGAGGAAAGTCCTTTCACCAATGCAGGTTGTCATATTTTCTGTACTTTATAGTTTCAGAGATCTGTCTAGACAGTGGCATGGCCACTAAACAGAGGATCCCTGCATGCTGCTCAGTGACTTAGAAAACCACATGTTAACATTATCTATGTCCTGTTGCATTTACATATATTTTGTTAAATATTTCTCAATTACATTTCAGTTCAGGCTTCATTCCAGAGTGTTGAGGACCCCAATAGGACCACTGGGGGTGTTGGATTAGAGTTGGAGGTTAAATGACTTGCCTAGGGTCACACAACTAGGATGTGTTAGAGGCAAGACTTAAACCTAGGTTTTACTGGTTCTCAGGCTGGCTCTCTATCCACTATGCCATGTAACTACTCAAAAATAATAAAATGCTAAAATAATGTCACATTTTGGCAACAATCTAAGGCTTACAAAGTGTTTTCCTCATATCAGCCCTGTTAGGGAGGACACATATTATTATTTCCATTTTTCAAATGAGAAAACTGAAGACAAATAATTTACCTAAGGTCACACAGCTAGTAAAGGTCAGGATCTGAATCCAGCTCTTCCTGACTCCGAGGAGCTTTTCTGTACATCGCCCTGCCCCTCTAACCCCATAGGTTTGGAGTTGGGACGCACAGCTCCACAATCCCAGCTGTCCCAAAGTGCTTCTGAAGGTAGTGAGCTCCTCACTGTTGGAAGTTTATAAGGCTAGGGAATAAGTTGGGTAGTCATGGACAAGTCACTTAGGCTCTTTGGGCCTCTGCTTCCTTATCTGTAAAAAACTAGATGACACCTAAATTTCTTCCCAAACTTCTTAGCCTTTCCTCACAAGGTCACACCTGCTGAAGCTGTGGCGGGGACAGAGCTGGAGGACAGAGTAGCCTGGGATTCTGGAGGGTTAGCCTCTTGGCTCTCTCTACTCCACCTAGGGCAATCCCAGGGCACCAAGTAGGTGGGTGCCTTAGGGCTGGGAGCAGGCAGCCCTGGTGATGACCAAGTAGGAGTCAGCCCAGAGTTTAAGCCTGGACAAAGACTTCCTTGCTCCCTGTTCACGAATGCGAACGTGGGTATTCTTTGGCACTGAGGACACAGTCAGGCTGAGTGCAGATTAAATCCGCCATTTGTGTGGTGAGCAGCCACGTGTAGTGTTCACAGCCAAGCTCCCATTTCCCTTTCTTACCATCATCTCACATGATTTTCCCTCAATTCCTTACACCCCGGCTCAAACACACCACTTGTCATCCTCAGATCAACCAACAAACATTTATTAGGCACCTAGGATGTGCCAGGCACCCTATTAGGCACTGGAGATGGAGATGGAGATTAAGGATAGGGACAAGGCCTGTGATTTCATTGGTTTGGGGAACTTCCAAATGAGGAAGCTCCTTCTACTAATGGAGGTCTGACCTCTGCCCCAGTTTATAGTCTTAGACTTTTGCCTAAAGGTTAAGTGATTTGCCCAGGGTCACAGAATCAGACGTGTCAGAGACAAACCTTAAACCCAGGTCTTCTGGACTCTAAGACTATTACTATACTACACTGCCTTTGAGGGCAGGGTCTGACTTTTGCCTCTCTTTATATCCTCAGCACTTAGCACAGCGCCTGGCACAGAGCAGGCACCCAATAAATGTTTATTGATTGATAGATTGTGTATTGTCATCATTCTTCCAAAAACGTGACCTTAACCCTGGAGTCTTTCTGACTCCAAGACCAGCTTTCTATTCACTATACCACAGGACTCTTAGAGATAATAATAGCAATAGTTATAGCTAACATTTATATAGCACTTTCAAGTTTGCGGAGTACTTTACACATATTATCTCATTTATCCTCACAACAACCCTGAATGGCAGGTATTATTATTAACCCACACCCACCCACCCATTTTACAGAGGAGACACAGTGATTAAGTAACTTGCCCAAGGTCACATAGCTAGTAAGCATCTGAAGTAGGATTTGAACTGACTGCAAGCCCAGTACTCAATCCACTGTGCAACTTTTCAGTTCAGTCATTTTCCGGTTGTGTCTGACTCTTCGTGACCCCATTGGAGGTTTTCCTGGCAAAGATACTAGAATGGTTTACCATTTCCCTCTCCAGCCCATTTTCCAGATGAGGAAACTGAGACAGAGTGAAGTGACTTGCCCAGGGTCACACAGCTAGGAAATGTCAGAGGCTGAATTTGAACTCAGGTTCTTCTGACTTTAGGACCAATGCTCTATCCACTGTGCCACTTAGCTGTCCACTTACCTAACAAAATGGCAAAGTAAAAAGTCTTTGCTTTCAAGGAACTCATAAAATTTAGAGCTAGAAGGAGATAATTAAACTATAGCCCAGAAAAGGGCCAAGGTCCTACAGGGAATGGGTCGAAGCTGGGATCTGAAACTTGGCATCCCAGACTCTGAATCCGGTGCTCTTACCACCTTCTAATCTCCAACTATTCCCTGCCCTTTTGCTGACTTTCCCCTTCTGCTCCTTGAAACCCACCTCAGAGTCCTGTTTCCAAGATGCCTTCCCTGATTCCTACCGGCTCACCATCCTTTGACCCGCTGTGATCATTTGTATTAATTAATCATTTGTGTCTCTATCTCCTCCTCTTTGAGGGCAAAGTGTGTTTTATCTCTGTCTATGTCTCCCTATAGCAAATAGCATGGACCTCGCACTTGGTTGGTGCTGGATAAATGTTTGTCCTGCCAAGAACCCTGCCTTGGGAGCATCTGTGCTGCCCTGGCACCTGCGAAACAGGACAGTTCCTAGAGCAAATCTGGTTCTGTTTTGGACAAGGCTTTGGGGTCCCAGCCCAATCTCCCCCAGATCTGGAGTCAGAAAACCTGTGTTCAAACCTGGTTCTGTGGGACCTGGGGCACAGCCCTCAAACCTTTCTGGGTCCCAGCTTCCTCCTATGTAAATCAAGGGGGCTGGACTGGGTAGTCTCTGTGGTTCCTTCAAGCTCTGGTCCTGGGTCTAATGTCTGAACCCCAGCTGCACTGCTTACTACCTAGGTTATTCAATTGCCACAAGCACTATGGGCCTCAGCTGAGGAGGCTGATGTCCCAAATCACTCTAAATTCTAGCAAATAGGAACATGGTAGGTCATACCTGCACTGAGTTGAAATCATCTGATGTTAAAGCTAGAAAATGACCTCAGTGTTATTCACCTAACCCAACTCACTTGGCCTTTTAAACATTTATTTATATTTATTTTTTAAAGAGGAAAAAAATTGAGGGGCCCAGAGCTGGCGCTGGGACTTTATCACAATCATGTGGTCACTTCATGGGAGAGCTTCGTTTGGTCTCTTTTCTGGATCAAAGTGCAATGCTCTTTCTGTTGCTGCCCACTCTATCCTGGGAAGGATCACACCTTTACCCTTGAGGGTGCTTTAAAGTTGAGGGAGGTGTGAGGGATGTGTGCTCCTTTGTCCTTCTGGTTAGAGTCACCCTGGGAGAGAGCCATTCTGAACCCTGTGGAGTCTTAGCTTGAGAGTCAGTGTGGGATTAGGAATCAATTAATCAATCAATCAATAAACGTGTACTAAGCTCCTATTATGAGCCTGGCTCTGTGCTAAGTCCTGGGGATACAAAAAGAAGTAAAAGACAGTCCCTGCCCTCAAGGAGCTTACAATCTAATGGAAGACCTGGGTTGGAGTCCTTTCTTTGTTCTGTGCTTCCTAGCTGCATGATCCAGGTCTAGTCTCTTAGTCCTTCATCTCTAAAAGGAGGGAGTTGGTCTCTTCCCATTCTCAGAATCTGTGATTCCTCAGTGAAGGGGCCAGAGCGGAGAAAAAGGAAGAAAAGAAAGACTTTTCAAAGAAGGGAGAGTAAGAAGTCTCAGACATATACAAAAATGTATGTCTCATTCTGTACCCTATGTCCACCACTTCTGGGTCAGGAAGCAGGTAGCATGCTTGATCATGGGTCCTCTGGAATCTAGTTTGTGACACATAGGTACTTGAGAGGTGGAAGGGACCTAGAGGTCATCAGATCACATCCGTCATTTTAATCCTTGCACTTCTTTTTCCAGAGGGCTGCAGTGAAGAAAATGCTTTGCACCCTAGAAATAGAAACTGCGGATCGGAAGAAGTCTCAAGGAGGGCAAAGGGGTTTATTGGATCTGAAGGCAAAGACCCAGGGCCCAAATCTGACTTCGGTCATTTATGCTGTGACCCTGACAACAGCCTATGGACCTTGTTAGTAAAACAAAGGGGTTGGATTAGAATTCAGAACAGAGGTTCTTAGCTTTTTTTGCTGTCACGGATCCCCTTTGGAAGTCTAGGGAAGTCTAGGGATCTCAGAACAATGCTTGTTTTTGAATGAATTCATATTTGAAGAAAATGCTACATTTCAGTTAGAGTTTCATGGAAAAAAAATAAGACTTTTTTTCTCTGTCCAAGTTCATAAATACACCTGGAAATTTATCCACAGACCTCTGGGGTTTTCATGGACTCCCATTAAGAACCCTATGGACTCCATCAGTGTTCCTAAAGCTTGGTCTCAGGACCCCTTTATGCTCTTAAAAATTATTGAGGATTCCCACCCCACCCCCACTTTTATGTGGCTTACAATCTATCAAATTTTACCATTTTAGAAATTAAGATTTCTTAGTATTTTTGACTCCTTAGATTCCTGGAAAGTGTATAGAGACCCCTAGGCTGCATTTTGAGAACTTCCAGACTGGATGGTTTCTAACAACCCTTCCATCTCTAAGGCTATGATTATAATTAATTTTTTTTTTCTAAAACAGGAACAAAGGGCCTTGCTGCTGTTTATTGTTTCCTGGAGGTTTTTAGTACAAGCTGAATTTTCACAGAATCTGTCCCAGACCTTGCTTTCTGGAACTGGGCATATTTAGCCTAGAGAAGAGAGGACTCAGGAAGAACATAATAGCTGTGTTTAATGTTTGAAGGGTTGTCATGGGGACGAGGGATTAGACCCGTTCTATTTGGCCCTGGAGGAAGAAATCCTGAGCAATGGGGGAACATTTCAAAGCGGATTTCTACTTGATGTCAGGAAAGCCCTCCCGGACTTGAGAGCTGCCCCACAGTGGAATGGGCAGTGGCCTTGGCAGGGGTGGGAGGTCTCTAAGCAGGAGCTGGACGGCCCTTTTGGGGGGATTTGTCCTAGTGTGTGTGTGGGGGGGGGAGTGTTTCCTTCAAGCATGGGTTGGAGTGAATCCTCAGTGAAGGGGGTGGGATGGGACAGGGTGGAAGGGGAGGAAGGGGAGCGTCCATTGCTTGGCTAAACAGGGCTTTTCAGAGAAGCCAGAGAAACAGGATTTAGGGCTGGGAAGTTCCTTCAGCCTGCTCCTAATACAGACGAGGTAACTGACACGCAGAGGAAACTGACACCTCAGAGTCACGGGGCTGGTCAGTTGCAGGGCCGGGAAGAAGGAAGCCGGGCTGGTTTTCTGCTTCCAGACCCAAAGCTGGGGCTACTCCTCGTTCTGAACGTGTCAGGGCGAGCCGAACTTTCTAGAGCCTCGGCTAGAGCAGGCCGAGCCCCCAAGGGCCCCTCCTGGCCCATCCCGTGACTCAGTCTGCAGGGGCCGCCTCGGCCCCCCCCCCCCCCCCCCCCGCACAGGCCAGCGGGATGCGGGCCAGCCGGCTCCCGTGACTCGGCAGAACTCAGACCGGGAAACCGTGACTCAGCAGTAAAGGGGTGGTGGGGGCAGGGTCTGAGAAGCATTACTCAGCACAATTCCCACTCCCAGCTTCCAAACCGCCCGGGTCTCAAACCACCCCGGTCTGGTGACTGGGTAGGAAAGGGAGGAGCTCACTTATTGCTAAATCAAGACCAAGGCTCTAGGACTGGAAGGAACCTGAGAATTCTGCCTTGTAGACCAACCCCCGTAATTTACAGATGAGGAAACTGAGGTGGATTGAGATTGACTTGCCCAGGGTCACAGCTGGCAAGTGTCTGAGGCAGGATTTGAACTCCCTACTCTAATCCCAGGATGTTATCCTCCACTCTCCCTTAGCTACCTCCAATTTTCAGAGTTGCAGCTGGCCTCTGAGGTCATATTGGTCCTCATCAGACTACCTTCCACAGCTCCACCCTGATCACCCGTCACCTAGGCTTAACTTGGAAAGGTTGTGCTGACCCAGGAGTCAGGAGACCTGAGTTCAAATCGTAGGTAAGCCTCAGAGGTCTTCATCCGTCTTAACTATGGTGCTTTATACTTATTTCCTTTGGTCTTCACAACAACCCTGGAGTTTAGGTGCTAGGATTTCTCCCATTTTATGGATGAGGAAACTGAGGCACAGAAGAGTTAAATGGAGGATAACATAGCTAGTACAAGAGCAGATTCCGATTCAGGTCCTCCTATTTTCCAGGCCAGGCTCTATCTACCAAATCACCTAACTGCCTTTAATGGAAAGACTAGAGCAGGTGGCTTCTGGGGGTCCTCAGTCGGCTTCTCCAGAATGCCCATCTATTGCTGCTGGTTCTGATCTTCAAATCAAGCAGAAGGAGCAGGAGCCCTCTTCTCTGTTTAGTTTGAGGCGTTACTGCACTCTGACGTTTGTCTTCATTGCACCTAGTACTGTGCCTGGTATACAGTGGGCACTTAATATTTGCTTGATGATCAACTGTTTGATTCCACCGGTCAGCCTTTCAAACACTTGTACCTGGGAATGTGAAGGGAGTTAGGGGAGCAGTGGAAAAGAAGGCAGTTCCGACTCCCAGCAAGGCAATATTAATAGAACAGCAACCAACAGTCCTGTGTTATAAAGGTGGCTCCCTGGGAGGGGGCAGAATGTAGGCATTCATTGCGAAGACAAGAGACATCAATAAAAATGTGTTTGAAAAATACCTCCCATTCGCACGTGCTGCCTCCTCCTGCCCCCATCATCCCAGAGTCCCTCCCTCCTTGTTGTCCAGTCCATGAGCAGAGCTCCTGGCCTCACTTTCCTCCCTTCACTGCCTCGACTTGAGAATCGCTCAGCTCAACAATCGCACTGGCTGCTAGCTTGACTTCTTTGTCCTCTTCTCTTGTTGTCATTCCTGTCTTGGTAATCCTTTAAAAAAAATACGTTTGTGTTGATCATCTGTTTTAAAGTACAACTGACTCTCGCTCTCCACCCACAGCACCCTTCTTCTGAACAAATAAACAGTCAAGCAAAACAAGTTGACACCATTGTTCAAGTCTGAACATGTATGACTCATTCCGTGTCTCTAGGCCACCACCTCTCTGGTGAGAGGCAGAAGGCATGCTTCACAATCTGCTCCTGGTGGTATTTCCCTACCAATCCTCAGCCCCTGATCTCCCTCCCCACCATCTGCCTTCTCTGCCCTTACTGCTATGTTACTGAATGTTCCCAAGGAAGTTCCACTGGAGCCAATACAAATTCACATTATCTAATCTCCAGTGGGCTCTCTCTGGCTCTCTGTAGAACAGCAATCTGTCTATTCTGCCTTGATTGACTCCTAGGACTTCCTTTGTCCTAGCTGAGAGACAGACAGAGATAGAGACAAAGAGAGGGGAAGAGGGGAGGAAGGGGGGAGAGAGAGAGAGGGAGAGAGAGAGAGAGAGAGAGAGAGAGAGAGAGAGAGAGAGAGAGAGAGAGAGAGAGAGAGAGAGAAAAAGGAGGAGAGAGAGAGAGAGAGAGAGAAGAGAGAGAGAGAGAGAGAGAGAGAGAGAGAGAGGAGGGGAGAGAGAGAGAGGGAGAAGGAGGGAGGGAAGGAGAGGGAAAGAAGAGAGAAAAAGAGAGAAGGGAAAGAGAAGGAAGGGGAGAGAAAGAGACAGGGGGAGGGAGAAAGGGAGGGAAGAGAGGGAGAGAGAAGGATGGAGGGAGAAAAGAGAGAGAAGAGAAAGAGCAATTGTTGAGCAAAACTAAATTTATCAAACAATCTGTCCATATATCGAGTGTTTTGCACTCATAGTGCCTCACCTTTACAAAGGAGAGCGAAACATGCATCTAGTCATCTCTTCTTGATCTTTCACCCAGTCTTAAGAGGCAAAAAAAAAGACCCACCATTTCCCTGTGGCTCTCCTCATGTCTTCCTTTCACTGCTGAACTCTTAGAGTCATCTACATTGGATGGCCCCAGTAACTCCTTACCTCTTCCTCTCTCCTTCAGCCCTTGCAATGTGGCTTCTGATCCCATCACTGGGAGGTTACCAAGCCTCTCTCAGCTGCCAGGGCCAAGGGCTTTTTCTGGTCCTCCTCCTCCTTGACTTGTCTGCAGCTAAAGACTCGGTTGGTCACCCTGTCATTCCACTTACCATCTTCCCCCTGGGCTTCTCTTGGCTGTTCTCCTAAGAAGTCCCCTTTCTACCTATGCCCCATCTAGGACACGGTTGTGGACCCTCTTCTCTGCTCTCTCTCTCTGCACCTTTTCACTTGGTAATCTCATCTGCGTCTGGGGAATTCGACAATTATTTTTACATAGATGATTCACAGATCTATGTGTTCTGTTCTCACGGCCTGTGAGTCCGGTTCTGAATGTCCAGCTGCCAACTTCCAGCTGGCCATCAACATCTCAATTATAATTCCAAAATAAGACTGATTAAGAGCCTCTGCCCCAAACCTGCCTCTCCTCCAAATTTCCCTGTTTCTGTTGAGACTTCCTCTACTCCCGACTATAGTTATCAACATTGATTTGAATTTAAAAACCAAACCCTACAAATTCACAGACTGTGAACCAGACATCTCTATGATCTCTTCCAGGCTCCCAGTCTTGCGGTCAGCAGGATTCTTCCACTTCTGTTTTCCAGGCTTGCCCATTCTCCCATCACACCATCTCCTGTGTGCCTCACTTCTCTCTTTTCATAAGGGGCCCTCATTAGCTCCCACCTAGATTCCTGTGAGAGGCTCAATTGTTCTCTCTGCTTCCAGCCTCTCCCTTTCTCATACCCTCTTCCACATACCTGCCAAAATAATTACCCTAAAGCACAAATTGTATTTAAGGTTGGAAGAGACCTCACAGGCCCCCTGCTTCAACCCCTTTATTTTGTAAATGAGGAAACTCAGGCCCAGAGAACAAAAGTCAAGCAACAGGATCGGTGAAAAGGGCATAGATTTTGGAGTCAGAGGACTCGTGGCTAGTTGTAGGAGCTTGGACAATTCACTGTATATCTATGGGCCTCAGTTTCCTCATTTGTAAAATGAGAAGGTAGAACTAGATGACCTCTAATGTCACTTCTAGATATAACTCTATGTTTCTTTGGTCCATAATTAACAATCTGGGGG